TTTTTTAATTTCTGATGTATTTTCTTTTATCTTCATTCTGGGCTGTAATAATTTTGTAATAAACTCTTGGGGATGGCTAGTGAAAAAGGGAGGGGATAGCTATGTATGCGAAGGGTAGATAACTTGCCTATAGGTGTATTTCTGAATTTCTACACTCTCATATAGATATCCTGCCTATAGGTCATTTCTGAATTTCTGCACTTCTCATATAGATACCATGTCTGTAGGAATTCTGCATTCTCTCATATAGATATCATGTCTATAATTACCTGGAAATCTGAATCTTGCATATGCACATAGAAAACATGCCTATTGGTCTTTCTGAATCCTGCATATACATTCTCCATCAGGCAATCATGTTTATAGGTCTTAATCAATCAACTGCAACTAGATATCATGTTCATAGGCTTTAAAATGAAATTCAGCAACTAGATATCATGTTCATAGGCTTTAAAATGAAATTCAGCACCTAGATATCATGCTTATAGGCTTTCTGCATTTTACCATGTCTGTTAAAAGGGGTTTAAATCAACACACATGAAAGCATGTCTATAGGAGTTATTAATCAAGTCTGAGTCGTGTCACTCGCTTATAAGTCCAAAACCAGTAATAATGACGTCCATCAGTTGCAGAACTTGTGATCTCTTGCTAAAACTTGCTTTCTTTAATAACTGACGACTTTCTTAAATCAGTAGGTATTCAGTTTATTTCATTGTTTCTAAAATCAGTAGATATCATGCCTATAGGACCCTCGTCCAACACCTAGGCAAGCCTTAGGGCTAAAATTATAAACTAGAATCAGATTTTTATTAGCTACAACCAACAGGCATGCCTGCTTAGGGCTTCTTATCTGAACTATGTAATATATCAGTCTGCCTCAACCTTTAAGTTTAATCAGACCATTAAACAGTATGTGTAAGTCGTGCTAAATTATGTGCTTTCTTTGGTTTAAGGTAGGTCTATCTGAGCCCTTCACTTGTTTATGTGTTTTCCCCCAACTTGCTATACGTGTTTTTGTATGTCGCCTTAGAGTTTTTGCCTTTGAAACTATAAACAAGCCTAATATCCCTTCCCTTTAGGATTAGTAGTCCTAACTGCTTCCTGGACTGATAGGATTGGGGCAGGTAATAGCATGCAATAAGTGAACGAGACCATTCCGCGCTTTAATACCTTAACGGGGTGGGAAAGGGTAGATATGGATATGATAACCACGTGATAACATCACGTGTAGCCCCTCACTGAGGAGTGATTACCGGATGTTGTGTGGGGTGATCCATATTATTTGTAAACCTAGGACCCCCTTCCCTTTGTTTCTTTGATTCTTTGCTTCTTTTTTCCAAATTTTAAAACTATTTCTCTAAGGAAATATCAGTATCCCTTTCGTTCTTTCTAACTTTGCTTATTTGTAATCATTATGTGAAAATCCCCTCTTACTTGAAGTTTTATTTGCCTATGTGTTATTTGCACTTAAGTCACAACAATAGTTTGGTCGGGAACCACACTAGTGGATCTTGAGGGGCGCCTAACACCTTCCCCTTGGGATAATTTCAAGTCCTTACCCAATCTCTGGTTAGTTGACTCAAACCCTTCTTAGTGTCCTAATGCACTTAAATCATTAGGTGGCGGCTCTTCAATTCAAAACTCAATTCCCAAAAGGGAACGAGTTGTCTTCCCAAATATCATAAACCCGATTTCGCGAGAAAAAGAGGGCGCGACAATTCGTAAGACAAGATACACCTAAATTTATTAGTTTTGAATGTGAATTAAATTTAACACAATCAAGCCTAGCACTCTGTTATTAAAAGGTCACTCTTGTGATTTGTCTGGTTGAATCTTTATATCAGTAACTCCTCTGTAGAGATACATTGCATTTTGTAACCTGAAATGCACAGATATTGCATTTCTATACCCTTTTTGCTTTCTCTTATTTCTCTTTTCTCATCACATATGTCCAGAGGCGGAGCCAGGATTTGAAAGTTATGAGTTCGGAGTTTTAATCCTTTTAAGTTACTTGGTTCTAAATTAATAATCAGTACATATTCAATGAATTTCATAAGACAAATATAGGGTTTAGACTAATGCTACTGGGTTCGGCGAACCTTTAACTCATGGGCTAGCTCCGCCCCTGCATATGTCTGAGTTATTTAACTTCATAATTGTTTGCAGACTGGTGGATAAACACCATCATTTCCTGCTGTTCAAGCATATTATGATGGCTTGAGTTTTCCTTACTTGATGACAAATCCATTGGTTCTTGGAAAACCATCTCCAGCCGAGATGCATTTGGAAATAGGGCATTTTCGTTCTGATGTATGTGGTCAAATTTTTTTGTTATTTCTGTGCATTTCAGGTTCTTTCCGAGGACATGGCTCTTGATATTAATGCATTAGGGTTGTAGGCTAGGGGGTAGTTCATAGTTTTTTCCTCTTTGTACCGGATAGTCTGATAGAGTTTTACCTATGTCTAGTAGCGGTCTATGTTGTGTTCATACTATTTTGTTGTTTTGCATAGGATTGTAATTATTGCACTCCCTTTCACTTATTTGGTGTATCTTAAGATATTATTATTACTTCTCTGGCTTCTCTTGTTGTTACAGATCTCTTCTTTCGTTTCTTTTCTGATACTATTATCTCTTCTGTTGAGCCGAGGGTCTCCCGAAAACAGCCTCTCTACCCTTCCGGGGTAGGGGTTCTGCGTACATCCTACCCTCCCCAGACCCCACTAGTAGGCTGATGATCCAAGACAGAACTAGTCTCTCGAACCTACAATAATCTGAACCGTTGGGTTCTTTTTATACCCTAGAATGTCTTGCCTTTTCCTGTTATTTCATAATTTGGGCCGTCTGCTCTTGTGCCGCAGTCGAGCAGATATATAGATTAATTGACATTGTTATGGAGCTAATGGAATTTTCGCAACCTGCTAGTCTTGAACTTTTTCTTGGCTGCCTAATGCTTAGAGGAGGTAGGAAAAACACCCAAGCTGCGCACCATGCGCGGAGTAGAATCAACGTGTTAGAAGTTGTAAATTATTCATGAGAGTGGATATCCGACCATACTATGTTATGGACATCATACTTGTTAAATACTTAGTTCTTGCTATATTGCTGTTATTTCAGCACAGGAAAAGAAAAGGAAAGGGTTAGACGAAAAGGAAAACAAAGATGGTAGCTTTATTTCATTTCTTTTTTTCTTATTGGATAGGATTTAGGCGATAGTTTTATTTAAATAAACTCCTTCCGAATATAAATATTACTCATTAAATACATTAACCAATACTGATCGTATGTGGTTAACTGGATAGCATTTGGGCAATTCGATCAAAGTAATAGGAAGTCTCACAAGAAATGAGAATACTGAAGCAACACATGACAATAGGAAACATCCATGATGCACATTGCTCTGTTTGACCACAGAATTCAGCTACTACTATTATTAAAACTAAAAATGCAAGCAAGAAAAACCACTGGATTTGCATTACCAATATATTATTTAGTACCTGAAAACTCAGATCAAGAACTGTTTCATAAGCTGTGAGCTGATTACAGAAGCATATGCTACGGCTTTGAACAATAAATGCACAACATCAGCTACAGCACATACAAGCAAATGCACACTGCATCCCTGTACCGCAACACATGACAAATTTCTTCCTTCCCGTCACCAAGTTTTATTTCCTGGAATTGCAGATCTAGCTGGTGATCGATGCCCTAGTCCGCATACAAACACAATTAGGGACGCCGTATAGCACAACCCACCTTTTTTTTTCTCGGAATAGCACAATCCAGCTATTTCAGCCATGAGGGTAGTTGTTCAGCCTTCACCAGACTTCCTCCTCTCAATCACCTAGAGGGGATTAGTTGTATTCTAACAAAATACAATCACATCGCTCTCTCAACTAACCACAAATGCCGCAATTGGTGCTGAGTTGTAAGGAGTCAAACCCTCTGCCAAGCTCCACCCAGCCCCCATTTTCTTCAATTCACAATATTCTTACCGACAAAGCCTTCCCTGGTATCCCTTCACATCTGCCATTTTTCTCCTTCCAATTCCACATTCATCAGATTTCAATGACACCACGACCAGTCACTAATCAATACTCGAGAGCTCGATTTGAATTGATGCTTAAAGATAAAAGTATTGCCTACCGTGCATTCTAGCCACAGAGGAAGAAATGGCAACTTGCCTGCTTATGAACAATAGGATTTTCCAGCGGAACGGTCATCCTCTCCAGGCTCTCTTGGTGATCCAAAAGTTGCCTACAGCAATCTAAACAAACCAAGTCGAAACTGAATAATTCCTCATATTCACAATTATTTAGGCACCGGCCACAGTTGATACAACGTTTAATGCAGATAGTACAAGCTCTGCACAACTGAGTGGTAGATTGCTTCTTTTGGCAACTCTCTGAGGGGCAATCATAAACTAGTCTAAGTTGCTGGCATTTCGGGCATATTTCAATATCAATAGCTTGATCATCATCAGACAACACAGATAATTGGCCGCCTTGGAAAAACCTTGGTTTACGAGTAGTTGGCAGCTTGCTGCTATCGACATCTAACAAGACCTTGAACTCTTCAAAGTGTTGGTTCGTCATACCAAATAATCCATCAATACCTAGGTACTTAAGGCTGGGTTTTCCTGCAGGCTTGAAGACCTTTAAGTTACCGAGAACACCATCAGCTGTGAGTCTCCCACATCCTGGTATGCTAAGCTGCATTGAGAAAGTAAACACAAGACATCAGAAAACTATAATAAGAATAAACACATGATATTATTAGAAAAACGTAGGAAATGAAGAATATACTAAGGTATTCACAAACTTTGATGAACTCCCTGGAAAGGTAAAACCAAGAGGAATAGCAGCTTATTTTGATTGGAAAACAAAGGAAAAAGTAGTTAGACATTATGTCTCACTATTTCTCTAACAATTCATTGCTCATCCAATTTACTGTGCAGGAAGCCGTTGATACCACGTCCAGCATGACATGAAGAACAAAAATAATTTATTCCTTAATAAAATATATCAATAAAAATTATGCACAAAGCCCTACCTCCAAGAATAAGTCTATTGGTCTCTTGGTCTATCAGAATTGCACCACTCGTTTCAGTAATTTTTTATAAAGACCACTAATTTCAGTAATATAAGGCTAAATAGGTGTTCCCACTATACCAACTGTCCTGCTTTTGAACCCACAATCTCCAGTCCTTTAAATTCTGCTAAAAGGCCTCTAAAAACTTTTTCAAATGATATTTTTAGCCATACATGTTTTTATTTTCAGCAATAAATATTTTAATAAGGAATTATAATATCTTTTCAAAAGTTTGAACTACAATTGTACCATGATATCTAGCTGCATAATTGCATTGTAGAGGCAGCATCAGATGCAATAGATACCAGAAAAGTAGACTAACACGAGCAATGAAAAGGGAAGAAACAAAGGAATGCAATAGTGAAGGATCCCAATATCCACTTTCATGAACAGTTAAATACTAAGCATTACATCTGAAATACTCACAGTTATCCAAGTTCAATCAATTACAATTTTGCAACGACACCTTGAGATTTTGTTACGTGAGGCAAATAAGGTGAGAGTCGAACAAGTAATTGACCAATAATAAGAACACCAAATACATCTGTAATGCAAGCACTATCATGGTAATTCTACTTTTAGTAACACAAGATAACGTCTAATAAGAAACTACAATGAGCAAAAGTATCAAACATAGTTAAGTAACCAGCAAAAGATAACAGCTGACCTTTTTCAGGCTAGGATTCCTTTCAAGCACACAATTCAAACCACTATCAGTGATCTTTGAGCAGTGCACAAGACTCAGAGAATGAAGATGACCTTGAGCCCTGTCTGTCAACTTTATAAGAATTTCATCTGTGATCTTACAACTCAATGGATGATCAACATGAATATTTCTCCACAGAAGTGGATCACCACGCACCACATCTCGTAAAGGTTTGCAAACTCTTTCAACAGAAAGAAGGTCCCTCAAGCCCAGATAACTAAGGGCCAAAAACAGTGCATCTGAAGGAGCACCTCCATCTCCAGTACGATAAACATTCACGCCTGACTGATCTATGTGAGTGGCATCTCTAAAAACCCAATAACTAGAATTTATAATCTCCTCCATCTCAACGTCCATACAACCAAAAGAATCGTGCAATCCCTCTCCTATATCAATCTCAGAAGCATAGGAGTTTTCACCTATGTTCTGGACCCCCACATCCTGGTGAATTCTCATAGACCCATTTAGAACAATATTAAGTTCCGCAAACATTTGAGTGTCAACCTCAATCTCATCTGAGCAGAAACCAAGATTCTTTAACCCAAAATCGTTGTCAAAATCCTCTAACCAACCAGTGATGGCCGTAACTTTGGTACTGATATCCATACCAAAAGGATCCTGAGGCAATAAATCAACAATATTATCATCAGAAACCATCTTAGTTTTTTCACCTTCGCGATCTCGAAAGCTGCCCTTTTCACAATTTTTCAAACCCCAAAAATCACCAAAACAAATCAAGCTTCTCATTTGGGCATTCTCTATCAAAATAACTATTACACCTATCAAACTCGAGCCCAGCTAAAAATCTTTCGTGTTGATTCAAGGCCATAGCTTTCTCATATAAATATATTCACCCGATTCTACAAGAAAACCCTCAATTCTCGAATGCATACTAAAATAAAAGCACCCAAAGATTTCACAGAGTTTCTTGTGAAAAAAAAACCCTAATGGGTCAATCAAAATTAAACCAGATTGTTCCGATCAAACCCCACATTCCGATATTTAAACAGCAATTAATCTACATACCCAATAGAAAGAACATATCCCCAGCTACGTGATGCACATATTTACGGCGTATTACATAAATCTAGGGTTAGATTGCACAAATGAAATGTAAACTAATATGAGAGAGAGGTGATGATAAAAGGTTTTTTTACCGTGTTACCAGAGAGTGATGACCGCAGGTAATATGTATATACAATATAAAACCTATACAATAATCTGGATGGAATGTATAGGTAATTTTCTGTATCTACATACTGTGTTTCTATAAGAATCGCTAATTTTGATGGAGGAGAGAGAAGGAGGAGAGAGAAAGGGTTTGAGTAATGTGGTATCTATAGGTGTCTCTCTCTGCGCTATAGGTGTCGATTGGTAGGGGGTTGGTGTGGCGCGAGAGACTTGTTCCTTTGGATTACCTCCTCTTTATTAGGGCTTACTTTGGGTCTGGACTTTTTCTACTCTACTTTTTGGGCCTATTGTATTCGCTTGGGCCTTTTTGCTCAATCAACTATAAAGGGCATTTGCATCTATACCCATTTTTTGTGTCATATTTTAACTTGTGCTCGTTTTGTAAAAAAAATTGCAAGCGTACCCGCTTTTTCACATAACTTCAGCCTACGGGGCTGAAGTTTTTGTCTTTGTAACCGGAAAACTTAAGAGCTTAAGTTTTCCAGTTATAAAATAAAAACTTAAGCTCTAGAGCTTAAGTTTTCCAGTTATAAAATAAAAACTTAAGCAGTTTTCCAGCTTAAGTTTTCCAGTTATAAAATAAAAACTTAAGCTCTAGAGCTTAAGTTTTCCAGTTATAAAATAAAAACTTAAGCTCAAGAGCTTAAGTTTTCCAGTAATAAAATAAAACCTTAAGCTCTAGAGCTGAAGTTTTTCTTTTGTACTGGAAAACAAACTTCAGCTCTAGAGCTGAAGTTTTTGTCTTTGTAACCGGAAAACTTAAGCTCTAGAGCTTAAGTTTTCCAGTTACAAAATAAAAACTTAAGCTTCCAGTAATAAAATAAAAACTTAAGCTCTAGAGCTGAAGTTTTTCTTTTGTACTGGTAAACTTCAGCTCTAGAGCTGAAGTTTTTGTCTTTGTAACCGGAAAACTTCGGCTCTACAGCTGAAGTTTGCCAGTTATAAAATAAAAACTTAAGCTCTAGAGCTTAAGTTTTCCAGTTATAAAATAAAAACTTAAGCAGTTTTCCAGCTTAAGTTTTCCAGCTATAAAATAAAAACTTAAGCAGTTTTCCAGCTTAAGTTTTCCAGTTATAAAATAAAAACTTAAGCTCTAGAGCTTAAGTTTTCCAGTTATAAAATAAAAACTTAAGCNAATTTCCAGTTATAAATAAAACTTAAGCAGTTTCCAGCTTAAGTTTCCAGTTATAAAATAAAACTTAAGCTCTAGAGCTGAAGTTTTTGTCTTTGTAACCGGAAAACTTCAGCTCTACAGCTGAAGTTTGCCAGTTATAAAATAAAAACTTCAGCTCTAGAGCTGAAGTTTCTATGTTGTAACTAGGAGTCTTTGTTTCTTGTATTGTTTCTTGTACATTCATCAAAGGAATTACATGGAAATATCTAGCAATTTTTGGCGGATAGTCTTGAAATATCATGTTTAAGTAGCTACATATTATTTCCCGTTAAAATTTGTTAGAATGGTCAATGAAAATCTGACGATTACATATCGTGCAAAGCTAAATCCAGAAAATCTATCTTCTTCAGTTACCGGAAAGCATGAAACTAGCAAGTTCCAATCTCATATTCTATTTGTAAAGGCTTATCTCAAACACTAACTACATTGAAGAGCAAGAACTGTGGTATTGAAGAAGAAGAAGAAGAAGAAGAAGAAGAAGAAGAAGAGAAGAATGGGAGGAGAAAGGGAGGCTGAAGTTTTTTAAAAAGTGGGTACGGGTGCAAACAGAAAGACAAAGCGGCTACAGGTTAAAAGGGGGCGGCCAAATAGGGCGCCCCGTGCAATTTTTACACTATAAACGGGAGAAATTCAAATGGAAACTTACATAAATGTCCCAAATAAATCTCAACTTACCAACCTCTAGCCATTAGTCATAGACTTACCAAAACTAGCCAACAAAAATTGAAAAACCAAATAATAGGGTTCTTTCTCTCAATGAATCACATGCAAAAATCACCTTCCATATTTTTAAGCGTGATTAGCAGCATTAGATACAAGACGGAAAGGAAATTTCATGGATGGGGTAGCAAATAAGGTGATGAAATACAAAAATCTATACAATATTCTAAAAATCTAAACAAAAAAGGAACTTTTTCAATGGGTATAGTTGAAATTCATTGAAAATGTACAGATAAGTCAATATACAAAATTTGAGGAAGATCGGAGGTGATTTGGACTGGTTTTGTATCAAAATTCGTAATTAAATCGAGTTCAAAAAAGTCTTCTGCGACACATGTATCAAACATGTATCACGCATGTATCACACACACAAGTATACATGGATATACATGTGATACACAATTGATATAAATATGATACATATGTGATACACAAATGATACACAGTGTGATACACATATCATTTTTTTTCGTGTTAAGCTTTTACTTCGAATTTTCAATTAAAACCACCTCAAAACTTCACCAAATCATCCCAAAACTGAGATTCAAGCTTCTTAAGTTATGGCCAATCTATTCTAATAACACCCACTCAAAACAAAGCACAAATTTGATATTTTTTTGCTACAAATAGCTAATTGGCTAATTTGGCTAATATTAGTAATATTTTATCAATTGGCCAATTTTTGTAATGAGCTACTTATAAATGGACATAGCTGGTAATTTCCCAAATTCAAAAATAGCCAGAGAACTGGTCGTTCAAAAATAGCCCAGTTTCAAAAGTAATCGAAATTTAGCCACTTTTCATGTAAAGATAAATCTGAGCGAAAACACTGTTCAAAACCCGAAAAATACGCCAGTATATTATATTGGAGTTCCAGCATAAGTATGCTTGAACTCCAGCATATTATATTGGAGTTCCAGGATAAGTATGCTGGAACTCCAGCATAATGATGGAGTTCCAGCATAAGTACACTAGAACTCTAGCATAATATACTGGAGTTCCAGCAAGTATAATTGTCCAGTATAATATACTTGAGTTTGGAGCACCGGTGCTCCAGTCTCCAGTATATTATACTGGAGTCAGCAAAGTATACCGGTCCAGCATAATATGCTGGAGTTCATACACAAGTGCACCGAACTCCAGTATATTATGCTGGACCGGTCTCTGTTGCAGCAAAATANCAAACCTTAGGCCGAAGGTCAGTCTCTGTCTTTACGTGGTACGGGAACACCCCAACTTGTAAGATTAAAGTTGGAGAAATTTAAAATAGTCAGATTTATAACTGGTACGTTCAAAAAATAACCCAAATTTCAAAAGTAATCGAAATTTAGCCACTTTTCATGTAAAGATAAATCTGAGCGAAAACACTAGTTCAAAACCCGAAAAATACGCCAGTATATTATACTAGAGTTCCAGGATAAGTATGCTGGAACTCCAGCATAATATGATGGAGTTCCAGCATAAGTACACTAGAACTCCAGCATAATATACTGGAATTCCAGCAAGTATAATTATCCAGTATAATATACTGGAGTTTGGAGCACCGGTACTCAGTCTCCAGTATATTATACTGGAGTCAGCAAAGTATAGCGGTTCAGCATAATATGCTGGAGTTCATACCCAGGTGCACCGAACTCCAGTATATTATGCTGGACCGGTCTCTGTTGCAGCAAAATAGTGGCTATTTTTCATTGAATTCGTAAACGCTGGCTATTTTTGAATGACCAGTCCGAAAACTGGCTATACCGTGCTATTTTTACGGCCAGCTATACTGCTCTTGTATATGAACTTCCAGCATATTATGCTGGAACTCCAACACGCAGAAAGTTCCAGCATAATATACTGGAGATTGGAGTACCTGTGTATGAACTTCCAGCATATTATGCTGGACCGGTATATTATACTGAAATTCCAGTATATTATACTGGAGTATCAATATAATATATTGGAGTTCCAGTATACTTATGTTGGAACTCCAGTATATTATACTGGAGTTATAATATATTATACAGGAATTCCAGTATATTATACTGGAATTCCAGTATATTATACTGGAGTATTTTCCGGATTTTGAATAGTGTTTTCGTTCAGATTTATCTAATACTATTCCCTCTATTCCTATTTATGTGAACCTAAGATAAATCTGAGCGAAAAACACTGTTCAAAACCCGGAAAATACTCCAGTATATTATGCTGGAGTTCTCTTGGAGCACCAGTGCTCCAGTCTCCAGTATATTATACTGGAGCCAGCAAAGTATACCGGTCCAGCATAATATGCTGGAGTTCATACACAAGTGCACCGAACTCCAATATATTATGCCGGACCGGTCTCTATTGCAGGGTGCCAACATTTAGCTTAAACTTCCGATTCATCGGCGTCAAAAAGGATCTTTCGATTGAAATGTAAAGATACGACACACAATTAAAGTGCCAAACTCCGTCTAAAAAGATGGAAGCTGACATATCGTAGAGTCAAGATCAGCAGGTCGAGCGAGTTTAAAATAGAAAAAATTTTATAAAGCACTATCTTTTAGTGGTAATTAACTATCTATAAATACCATTTGCTATATTACGGATTGTAGATACGTTTTCTGTTATAAGATATATTAGATGTATTTAAGCTACTGTAACCTTTGCTATATGAGGTAAAAATTCCTTATAATTATTCTTACACAAGTCATTAATCAATTGCAATCTTTTCTAAATTTGAAAGATATAGTTTCCTTTGAAAATAAGATTCATGTGTATAAATATGATTCGCGTTTATAATATCATTTTCTTCGAAAGTAAGTAATGTTGCCAATAAATGTACTCTCTCGTCAATGTTATGTTTCGACGCACTACATAATCCAAACATTTGAGTTGTTTCCAAAGTTTTTTCACTATTATGAATACCATGAGAAAAACATAATTTAGTTATTTTGGTTGTAAATCACTAACTAAAGTTGTAATCTTGATATATTGCTTTCGATCATGTCTCATTCGCTTTTCTCTATTAACTTTGTTTTTGGTCGCTTTCAAATCATTTGTGAAAGTGTACCTAATTTAGTACCTTAATCTTGGCTTCTCTTGTCAAGTAATGACATTTTGTAAAGGACCAATACAAGTGATTATTATTTTTTTGTCGCAGACATTGCCAATTAACAATTCGGTTGGTAGTCTAATACAGTACTAATAATGTAAAGTTTCTACAATATTAGTGCAACCTAGTAGGCTACTCTATTTTTTAGATTATCATGTCAATTATGGTTAGGTTAAGTTAACTTGATGGTGTCTTTCTATCTATGATTCTCGTGCAAGATA